GGGGGGGAGGAGGAGGAGGAGGAGGAGGAGGAGGAGGAAGTCTGTATAAAGAGGGAGTAGAATTGAGGATAGTCAACTCACAGTCGCGTCTGAGCTTCCCTTCCTGACAACTGTCACCAGCCACTGAGTAAACAGCTGACAGTTAGGTGCCAAGAAAATGGCTGTCGTGGCCAGGATTCCATCAGTGGCGACAGATGACCAGGGAATGTAAACACACAGAGAGATACAGTCCCTTTGATGTTTCTCTCAAATGGCTGTCCTTGGTCAAACTAATTTAGCTGGGAATTTGTTTCCTATCAGAAACTTTAAAAAAAACAACCACCTCACAAGTGAGAAAGGACCTTCTAATTCTTTAGTTAGTCCTTGACTTATTGACTTATCACATGATCAAAATTCAGTTGCATGGCAACTACCGTGTTTCTCATATAATAAAGCCGGGTCTTATTTTTTTTGAGCCCCGAAAAAATGGCTAGGCCGTTTTTTCGGGGGTGACTTAATTCCCCCCCCCTTGCATCTTAGGGTGGCCGGGCAGCGATGGCTTGGATGTTGACCTCGGCATTGGTGGGGCACTTCATATTGGGGTCAACGCAGGCAGCACCATATCCGGGTGTGCAACAAAAGTACCTCCTAACGGCAAGCCCCCCCACCATCCCCCCTCATTTCACATGTTTTAATATAGGCCTTAATTTGGGGGGAGGGCTTAATTTCATTTCATGCCTATAAAACATGCTGGGACTTCCTCTTGGGGGAGGCCATATTGTTGGAGAAACAGGGTAGTTGTAGCATCCTGGGGTCATGCGACCAACTTTTATGACCTTCCGACGAGCAAAGTCTCCACAACCATATGACTCACATAACAACTGCGGTGATTCACTTAACACTTCACTGTGGCAAGAAAGGTCACAAAACGGAGCAACACCCACTGAACAACGGTCTTGAGTTAGCAACAGAGATGATGGGCTTGATTGTGCTTGAAGTTGAAGGCTACAACTCTGCGTTTCTGGACCCTTTTGTGACTCATCTCTAA